AAGATATCTGAGCGTGTAATGTTAATTTTACCTGTGATCCTTTGAATAAATCAGCACTGTTTTGAAGTTACTTGGACTGTCTCGTCTCTCAGAGTTAGCATGGTAGCAAGAAATGGGTCCTACAGGCCCCATGATACTCTTGAGTGTCTCTCCTCCACTGTCCTCTTCTCTCTTTCTCTCTCTCTCTCTGTGCATCTGTATGCCTCTCTTTGGTAGTGTGTCCTCTCTCTCCCTGTACCTTTCTGCAGGTAGCCCTGCCTCTGGAGCTATGTGCTTCTGATGAGCAGTCACAGGCCACATCAACTTGACCAGTGTTTGATTGTTTGCTGTTGTGTCTTGCTGTTTTTCTTCTTTTCTCTCTCCTCTATCTGCTCATCTCAACCGGTCGAGGCAGAAGGCAGAGGGTCTGTCTGAGGTTTCTTCCATTAAAGGGAGTTTTTCCTCTCCACTATCACCAAGTGCTTGCTCAAGGGGTATTTGTTGATTTTTTTTCTTAACAATAATAATAATAATTACTGTATGTCTATAACCATACTATGTGAATAAGGGGTGGGCAATTCCAGTCCTCAAGGGCCCCTGCCCTGCTTGTTTACCAAATATCCCTGCCCTACCCACTGCTGATTAACTGGATCAGGAAGATAAGGTAGGGCAGTGATAGTTGGAAAACAAGCAGGGCAGTGACCCTCGAGGACCAGAATTGCCCAACCATGATGTAAAGTGTCCTGAGATCACTGATGTTGTGATTTGGCACTATAGAAATAAAATTGAACTGAGCTGAATTGAATGTGTTTCCCTGCTGTCTTATATTCAGTAACATTCTGTATCTGGCATTAGCGCTTCCTGGAAGAAACAGATTAATTGTCAGGTCCGCTTGGAGCGACCTGCCTGCCTTTCTCTCTCCTGATCGCTCTTTTTGCAGGATCAGCGCCTCAGCTGTGTCGCATGTTGTAATCAGTGACTTGTGGGTTGTCGCGCACAGCTGGGGCACATTACTGTAATCACCTTCCTACCTTATTTATACCTCTGGCGGACGCTCCGCCATCGCCGGAGCATTAACTACTGTAATGTACATACCCCGTGACAACCATATAGTCGTGGTATGTATTTGTATGCCATTTTGTTTTCCACGCTGACAGTTCCTGTGCTGTGGATCACATTTTGTACGTTGGTTATATGTTTAGTGTTTTAGGTCCACGTTGACATTTCCTGTGCTGTGGATTTCTCTTTATGTTGTTTCCGTGAGGTTAGCTAGATGTATTTTTTGTTATCCACGCTGACAGTTCCAGTGCTGTGGATTTCCGTTTTCATTCGTCCGTCCTCATGGTTAGCCTGTCTATTCACCTGTCTGTCCTCATCTTCCTGCTCACCTTAGTCTTGCCGTTAGTTTGGCGTACTGTATTCATTGACTGTTTCTTTGTGTGTGTGTGTGTGTGTGTGTGTGTGTGTGTGTGTGTGTGTGTGTTCCCCACCATTAAACCACCATTTTTACTAGCACCTGGGTCAGCAGTTTTGAGTCCTACCATAGCTCTCCCTCACCCTCCTGGTGAGGGGAACAAACCATAACATTTATTGAATCATAGTCATCCGCAATCCAGAGAATTATGCACAAAGCCACTGGGACACAAGAGGAAAATGCAGCACCATCCCATATGAAACAGTAGGATAATCTTCCATGAAACACTGTGGATGTAGATGTAACATTAATATTCCTTTCAGTCAGATATCTGTTTTGCTGCTATCAGTTAGTTCTAGGATTAATATGGACAGTCCAGCGACGTGCGGTGAGGTTGACAGCTGGTAAGGCACTAACTCTTTTACAGTCAGATTTACAAATACAAATTGTCTGTTAACAGACAATGCGTTATGTTTTATATCTCATATCAGCATTCTTCACACAAACGTGACCCATATTTAATTTGAGGTTAAAATTTATTCCAATTGAGCTTATTTCTAACTAGAAATAATAAACGTTTATGGTCTTATCTTTACTTGTACAGGAAATCCATTTGTCAGCTGGTATGTATTACAAACCCTTTTACCGTTCGAATCCAATATTAAAACAAATGTTCTCAATAAAGAAGATCCTTCTGGACAAAAATGTCCAGACTGTCAAAAATGTTTTGATTGAAAGTCCAGATTCGTGAATTTTCTCATCTTGGAAATGTAATCTTTCATTTTGATAAGGCGGATTGTAAAGGAAATATAAACAAGCACGAAGAAGATTGAAGGTAGCGCAAGAATCTGTGGGCTCACTAGCGCCCTCTGCCTTGAGGCAGGCGTACTGTTTGCCTCACCGAGTAACTTTTTTA